GAAATATTATCGAGTCCATTTTTATTTATCGTACGATAAGTCAATTTATTGATTATCGCAACAGGTATATGGTCACTTCTAAAAGGGGTAAATTAATAATCTTTTTTCTCAAAGCAATGAAGATAAACCTGTGAGTTGGATGTAGAAAAGTCATAATCAATATAGTTGTTTTTATTTTAGAGTAAATTCAGATTGAACATGGTAAAACAATTTAAATTATAGTTTCCGTCCAAAAAAAAACCATTACTTATAGTGAAAACTAACCTTGAATGATGGGATAGTAGACTAAAACCTTTAGGAATCCAAATTATAACATATAATAAGTACCCTGTATCAAGATTGATGCAAAACAAGTGACATTTGACCTTTTTAGAGAGGTTTAGAAAAAAACCCACCTCTGGGGTCATTTGGGTGTATTTGCCGGATCTCTGGAACCCATTGGTCGATTTTGGTGATTGACACCTCTTTTGAACCGTTAGAGCCAATATAATCGAGGGGGGGGGGCTCCTAAATCCATCTAAACATTACCATTGGTGAATGAGAGTGATGCTTAGCCAGCATGCCCAAAACCGGAAGCTGGTTTACACTCTATAGAAAACTATGTTTATTGCCATAAATGTTATGATGGATTATCAGTAATCGTTTCGAAGTGACGCAGAGACATTGGATTAACCTTCAGCAGCGTTTATATGCGTTTTAATGCCCTTGAACACAACTTTTGATCAGAAAGCAACAAAGGTAAGACCATGCTCGGCGCCGTGGGAGGGCCAGGGAAGCCCTCCCATTTGACATTCCTGCCCTCCCCCAATAAACACGTTTTTTATTATTTATAACATTTAAAAAATGTTTTAATTTGAATTATAAATAAACTGTGAACTTTTATGCTACGATGTATGTGATGTCAGATAGTAACAAAAAAAAAAATCGCAGGCTACGTCAAATAAATTCATGTCTGTTGTGATTTGTGATTGACATTTAGACCAATCACAGCGTCACACTCTGCCGCCTATTCTGGATTTGTTTATTGTGCATTCTGTAGACTCCCATTTCTGTTTGAATTACAAAATGGACATCAGAAATTGGCTCAAAAGGTCTAAGGATTTATTAAAACGAAATAGCGATGAAAGAACTGCAGCCGATGGTGCTGCTGGCAACCCTGCACCTGCCGTTGCAGCAGCACGCCTTAATGTCACAAGCTTGACCTCGGCAAACCCCGGGGCTGAGTTAGCGAGCCCAGGCCTTCACTCATCAAGGCGGCCGCCACCAACGCTGTCCTCCGAGACACAGCTCCTTGTGCCCCTACCATCACCACCTGCGTTGCCACACCCTGTACCACACCCGCCAGCATCCTCCTCCTCCGTGCCGGTGCCTCCACTACAGACGCTACCTTGTAGCACATCAACAGGTACTATTGGGCCAGCAACCGCTCAAAGACCAACAGCCCCAGATGATCTTGGGGTTAATAAACCCAACCAGGTGAAACTGGACTGTTATCCAGGGAGATTGTTTTCAGGAAAGAAGCACACTTGTGCCGCTGCATGGTACAAGAGAGCTCTATTTCTGTTCACAAAAATGTTTAAAAAGAGGTAACCACAAAGCGATATTTAACTGAAAATACTAGGGAAATGTTTACACAGAATTTTTCTTCCACACTTGCCCCTGCTAACATCTCAGCAAATGAGCTAGTAGATCATTTTAATTCAAAAATTAAAAAGGTTATAGATGCCATTGCTCCAACTAAGGTAAAGGAAGTGTCTGGCAAGAAAATATCTCCATGGAGAAAGGCCATGAGCGTGAGAACAGAAAAAAGAGAATGTCGAAAAGCTGAACGCAGGTGGTGAAAAACAAATCTCCAGGTTCCATTTGAAATCTATAAAGAGAGACTTGGCCTTTATAATTTGGAATTGAAAAACGCACGACAATCGTTCTTCTCTGACATCATTACCAAAAACAACGCTAGGTTTATAAACTGCTGGTTTATAAAGCACTGAATGGTTTAGGCCCAGAATACATTTCTGACCTCCTGCTAAATTATGAACCATCCAGATCTCTCAGGTCTTCAGGGACTGGTCAGCTTTCTGTCCCCAGAGTCAGAACTAAACATGGAGAAGCAGCGTTCAGTTATTATGCTCCAAATATCTGGAACAAACCTGCAGGTCCGCTACAACTCTGACTACTTTTAAATCCAGGCTGAAGACTTTTCTTTTTGTCGCTGCTTTTAATTGAACTATTCATATCTTAGACTGCACTGTAACTTTTATCCATATGCTATATAAATAAACTTGCCCTGCCTTACAACAACAGACCATGGCTTGAAGATTCGTTAAAAGCAGACGCAGCCTTTTGTTTCCCCTGTAGACACTTTAAAGTAAATACGTCTTCATCTGATGCGGCTTTTACTGTCAAAGGTTTTTGCGACTGGAAACACACATTACAGACTGATAAAGGACTGCTAAGACATGCCGCATCAAAAGAACACATTTCATGTGAGAGTTTGTGGAGAGAGAGACAGATACGCGAGGAAACAAATAAGGAAATTAGTACTTTGGTGCAGATCAGCTGCACGGAGCCGTTATTACGTGTCAGCTGTCGTTGATATTATAGCTTTTTTAGCTGTCAACCAACTCCCTCTCAGAGGTGACCACGGTTCACTCCACAGCATGTCCGAGTCAGGCAGTGGGCTCTTCCTATCGCTGTTTGAGTATACGCTGCAGTACAAAGATGCAGAGTTGGCCAAAATAATGTTCTAAGTTAGCTCGGCTGAGCGAAAGGATGCACCTGCAGTGCATAGGAACATAAACCATGCCCAAGGCGGGCTAAACAGTTCATCGTCTCCGTCTATTTCTCTCTGAGTGCAACGATGAGGAAGCTGCCATCCTTAACCAGTGTGCCTTGCTCGTGGTTGACCAGTGTTTGTGCTGCCACGCACACAATGTTTCAAAAGTGGTTTCTATGTTGACCTTTATTTGTGTATGTTTGCGATAAGTGTGCGTCTTTACGCAATGCTGTTGGCCTTGCTGTTTGATATATATTGTACTGCAGGCCACACATGACGGTTTTGTGTGCCCTCCCATGAAAATCATATGCCCTCCCTTTAGATTTGTTCTGGCGCCGGGTCTGGGTAAGACGTATTTGCCGTTTTGCCCCCATAAAGTGAAGTTGTGTGTTGTCTTTGCTGGATTTCGCTGCCTTGAGTTTTGGTCGCACAGTGATTAAACTTATACCATTGGAATGTGTGGAATCTCAGCTTTCATATGATATCTAGTTTCGTAGTTTGTGCAGATTGCATGAAGTTTAACATATTGCTACCGTGAGTTATGTGCTAAGTGCGTTAGCACTCTTTCGCTTAGTGCTGATTCAGAGGCTTGGCATTAGACTTTTGTCTGTTTTGTTTAGGTTATGAAAAATGGTTCATATCGTCAGTTAGCTGAGTTTCTTCCCGTTAAGTGGGTATGACACATTAATAGGTTGTTAAATGTTAAGAAGCCCTGAGACACAGTTTCGTGAAAATGGTTTTGTTTGCCCCCGCCGGCAGGGTGCTATCGGGCTTAACAGGTTAACGTCCAGTTGGTGGCTTTGTATGTCTCTTCAGCCTTCCTTCTATCAGAAGTTGCAATGAAATTTCACACCGATGGGGGATCTTGTAAAATTAAGATCCATGGCTCAGTAGCCAGGGAGAGGTCCCAACACTAACATACAATGAAGATTAATCAGAATGTTCTGTACATTAAACTGTGACTCATCACGTGTGTTCCTGGGAAAGCAGGGCCTTCAAACGATTATACTTTGAGGGAAATTATACATTATTGTTCAATTCATAACCACAATAACAAGAAGGTATACATGTGTCATTTGACACATAATAAAACAACTTTTTGCATATTACATAATTATATTACAAGACAAGCATGTGTAAGCCTGGTCACACCCTGCATGAGATCAGTTAGAGAGGACAGTATGATCATTCAAAGCTGGACGCATGGACTTGCATAAAGGTGAATGAAGCAGTCTTTGAAGGGTCACAGCGAGACATGCATTGTACTTAGTACTCAGTGTGGAAAGCAGAACTCTGGATTGACATGTTGCTATATGATCCTGAACAGAAGTGCAGATAAGATGTGAGGAGAGCACAGTGTGTGTCAGTATGACCCTGTGTCAGCCACGTCATGTGTCTGGCTGGAGTAGAAGCTGCGAGGAGAGGCAGTGAGACAAACAAGGCTTTAGAAATCCACATAAACTGGAGGGGTGGGTGGGTTGTAACAGAACAGGCTTTGTTAGCAGTACTTGCCACTCTCACAAACACATATGCAGACAATAATCACAGTTTGTGTGCATGTACGGTACATATTGTAGTTTCATGCATTCATTCTCAATTAGATAATTGCTAATGGACTTTGTCCGTGTTCTGATTGGCATGTGTGGTCAGCAGTGCATTGGTTGGTAGGAGTTCCCTGAGAGCAGACGGAATGAAGGGAAACAGTTGTGGACTTTAAAACCAAAGGCACACTATAAAGCTTGTTACGATGCTGGGGGGTTCAGAGTTTGTTGCTAATTTTCTGTGGGTTTGTTACCATGAAAAACTAGCCGATATAGAATTTCTCAAAACAGCATCTCTAAAGTGTAAAATGTGGTGCAATGCTGTTTCTTTCTGCTGACCAGTAGCAGATGTGTGCAGTGTGTGTTCTCCAGCTGTAAAGTGTGTGCACACACTCCCTTGTTCTGCATGTGGCAGTGCAGCCTGCTCCACTCTGAAGTCATTGGCTGCTGGTTGTGAAATACTTGAGGAAGTGGGAACCTAATTGAAGTCAAACTATTTGTTGCACAATTTTAGAGCCTTCAGTGTTTTTGTTAAATTCTGTTACATTTTTTATCTCCAGCACTTTTTTAGATTTAGACAGTCCTTTAAGAAATACATCTTTACCTTTGATCTAACATGTGTTTTAAATTGAAATCCAAAGTGCTGGTGGTTATTGACACAAGCTGACTGTGTGTTTTGACAGAGGACAGCATCTCTCTGTCAGCTCCCTGTGGAGGGGTTCAGAGACCCCCTGTCTCCTCAGTGGAGATGCTACATGTCTCCACAAGGCTGCCGATACTACGTCAACACCACAAGCAACGGTAAGAGTCAATGAAGTAAAATAGTCAAGGACACATTTTTAAGATGTATTTCCAGAACATAACCCCCCTCTCTGTTTATGTACGGGTAACAGATTCCTCTGCTAACAGCCCGTTAGCCAATACTCAACTAGGCTGTCGTTTAAATATTGCATATATTATATATAGATATAATGACCTGCTCCTTCAAATCAAATCAAGCTTTATTTATATCGCACCTTTCACAGTGACACATTTTTTTTTCACACAAAGTGCTTCACAAAAAAACATAGACAATTCACAAATAGAAACAATACTATCTCTCCCTTCCAGGTTAATAATCAGTGTAACTCATAGCTTTGCGATATACACTGTATACATTGATATATATACAGTATGTATGCATGCATACATACACACACACAATACACATTTTTTAAAGAATAATAAAATACAATTCAGTTAAAAGTAACATTTTAAAAAGGTGGGTCTTGATTTTGTTATCTTAAAAGTGTGATCGCTCTCTGCTGCCTCAGATCCTCTGGAGGCTGTACCACAGCCACATTTCTGTGATAATAAAATGATGCTCACCGTGGGTCTTTGTTTTACCTTTTGGGTACGATTAAAAGGCCAGTACCAGAACACTTGAGGGTTCTAGAGGGCTCATAGGTTAGAAGCAAATCCGAGAAACTAGCTATGCCCAAGACCATAAAGAGTTTTAAAAACCAATTGAAGTATTTTCAAATGGATTCTGTAGCTCACAGGGAGCCAGTGCAGAGACTTTACAATGGGGTGATGTGTGCTCTGGTCCTCGGTCAAACACGCGCAGCTGAGTTTCGCTGCAGTTATAGTGGTGCAATATTGTTTTTAGGCCGAACAGAAAGTAGTGCATTCTACATGTTATCAAAGCGTGCATCCGTGTCTCTGTACTGGCCCGAGAGAGAAACAGTTGTACTTTGGCAATATTCCAGAGATGATAAAATGCTCTTTTTGTTATATTTCTGATATGTGGTTCAAAGTTTAGCTCTGAGTCTAAGATTACCTCTAGGTTCTCAACTTGTTGGCAAGGTTTCATATTTAGTTAATGAAGTTCTGAAACCAGTTTCTCTCTCTGAGCTCCAGAACTAATAATTAACAGCTCAGTTTTGTCCTGGTTGAGCTGAAGAAAATGATACGAGTTGTTAGTTGATTTATTGATGGGGGGTGCTCGTTCTTCCCGTGGCTCACTTAGACGAGGGCTTTTTAACCAAGTGGAGGTGACAAAAACTGTTCTGCCTTGCTCCCCAACTTCACTTTGGATTCAAAATACAGAGCAATGGAACCAGTGAGAGAAGGGTAGAAGAAGTGATACTGCCAACATCTTGTCACTTTAAGACGCAGATGCAGTGTGAGATAAAGGGACATATTTGCATTTTCTAATTCTTCAAGCCTAAACACACAAAATGCTGTGCAGTGTTTGCACAACATGTTGTTCTTGGAGCTTGCTAAAGTTCTTGGTGGAAAGCTAACGGCCATTTCTCTGTATTGTACCCCGTTCTCTGCTCCCTCAGTAGGGACCTATAGTCCATGTACAGTGTAACCAGCTGCTCCTCAGAGATGTTCACATCCTCTCTCATTCATTTATTAAATAATAAATCTGATTTGTACAGCATTTTAGTAGGATAGTAGTATTTTAAAGTGTCAACAATATAATAATCAGACCCTGCAATAGAATAAATCAAGTTTCACTTTAGTTTTTCAAGTAACTCAACTCTAACTCACTCACTCAGCGTCATCAAGGTTATCTTTTAGGAATATGAGCATGTCCACATTTCCAGGTAGAAGCTGGGATGTTCGGGCGTTTACAAAATCCCCTGCTGTGGAAACAACTCTCTTGCTTGGTACTGATGTTGCTGGGACAGAGAGATATGCTTTGGCCATGGGTGACAGCAATGGGTCAAACTGTGCATTGTCTGTCCACCACTTCAAAAACAATACAGTTGTTGCCAAGAAGGTGAGGCTTATTGACAGGGCGAGATATAAATATACTGTTGGTACTTGTCTATGTCTCTAGGTATGTACATGTAGCCCTGTAAATATGATGTCCTTTTGTGTTCTGTTGTTTTATGTTCATGTTGTAACCTACTTGCTGCCATGTTGGACAGGTCTCCCTTGAAAAAGAGATCGATGATCTCAATGGGACCATCTGGTTAAATAACGGTTTACAATTTATTTATTTTTTAAAAGATTTTTATTCGATATATCATTACATCCCTAGTGTTTACTAAAAGAACATGTATGCAATTTAATCATTTTAACCCTTTATTTGGGGGGGTACCTCACCTCCACCTCCTCCGGGGGCATGCAACCCCGGGAAGATTTGTTTTTAAATGTTGAAGTGAAAAGCATCAATCTGGTGCACTTTGAGCACAAAATGAATGTATGGATACAGCTCTCAACACTCAGATGAAAGGGAGCTGTATACTTTTCAATAATCCAAACATCTTTAGAATATGATCACAACCAATAACAAATCATTTAAACTGGTTTATTCTTATTTGATGTTACCTAGTTAGCATTCTTTCTTTCTATTTATGCATATTTTACTAATCACTCTCCTTTTAAACTTTTTTTTTTTTTACTGTCCTATAGTACACATTGGAATGATTTGTTAATTTTCTTTTTACAACTATATGAAATAGATAAAGGTGTGCTCTCTAGCTCTCTCTCTCTGTCTCGCTCGCTCACAGAGGCTGTGTGCTCCTCCGTGGCGATGACGGCTTGCGTTAAAAGATAATAATAAACATAGGCCTATTTGTAAAGTGGGGGGACACAAACGGGATTTCGAAAAGTGTCACGGTTAAACTCCTTATGAAGTGGTGAGCTCCGCTCCACATTGCTTTTCTTCCCGACTGCAACGCTGTGTGTGTGTGTGTTGTGTGTGTGTGTGTGTGTGTGTGTGTGTGTGTGTGTGTGTGTGTGTGTGTGTGTGTGTGTGTGTGTGTGTGTGTGTGTGTGTGTGTGTGTGTGTGTGTGTGTGTGTGTGTGTGTGTGTGTGTGTGTGTGTGTGTGTGTGTGTGTGTGTGTGTGTGTGTGTGTGTGTGTGTGTGTGTGTGTGTGTGTGTGTGTGTGTGTGTGTGTGTGTGAGGTTTTTACATATGTCTGTAAATTAAAGTTGTGTGAAAGTTTATTTATATATCTCTGTAAATGTGCAGGCTCGGATTGGCCATCGGGAATATCGGGATTTTTCCCGGTGGGCCGCTGCCGTTGGTGGGCTGCTGCCTTCGGTGGGCCGCTGGCTCTGGCATAGGTGGGCCGTGGACTTTCACAGCGCCGCTGCGCCGGTACCGCACCCGCCGCCACCGCACCCGCCACCGCACCCGCCACCGCAGCGGCTCTGTGAAAGTCCACCGCCATTGCGAGTCTCCGGCTGTAACAGTCCACTACTGCCCGCGAGGACCCAGGTTCGATTCCGGCCTGAGGTCCAAAAAAATTATTTTGAAAAAAATAAATAATAATAATCTCCCGTTCATCGCATCCATTCGCGACCCACCTATCACATCGTTGCGCCCCACACTTTGAGAAACGCTGGGTTAGGGTATAAAACATAACAGATCCCACTCCAAAGTGAAAGAAATGTGGAACACTGTAAGATCTGTTTAACTGCTGACTGAAGTGCCAAGTATGCAACCATTCACTTTCAATGTGAACACTGTGACAAGAGTATGACAGCTGGTAGGCATTCCGGTTTCCTAATGCCCCCCCCCTTCTCCTTAACACTCCATCAGAAACGACATGGGAGAGACCGTCCAGTGCCCCTGGGACCCCAAACACCTGCCTCTGCCTCAGACCCCCCCTGCCAATAGGTAGGGTCTGCAGTGTGTCAGCACCCTGTTCAGCAAACACACTTCCTGTGACTCATCTCTGCCCTGCTGGGAGGCCTCCTCCATTTCTGTTGGTTACGTTTTCATCAGTTGCTAAATATTTAGGAAGGAATTTGAACCAAACTTATTGGTGAATTTATGAATAGTTAGTGTAACCCAATCAAGATCTCTATTATTTATCTGTGCTTGCCTCATATAAGACATAATATACACACAACGAGAAGGAAACGTTCATCCTGGATCAGCAAAGGTTACAGCCAATCAGCACCAAATAACTAAGGACTTTCTCTTTCCCTCTCACCCTCTTTCTCTCATTTCTCTCCAGTAAATGGATTTCACTCAAGTGGTAGTCCGTTGCATCATGTGGAACATTCACACAACAGTGTGGTTAGGAAAAGCAGTTCAGAGCCACAGGTAAAGCCGTTTAACTATTCAAACAAATCATTTTCCTCTACCACTGGTCAAACCTCAACCAATGAGCTTTATGGGGCTGACACACATGGTAAATGGACTGCATATATGTAGCGCTTTATACAGGGAGCATCAACTGCAGGGGTTGGGATCAAACCCACAACCTTCCAGTGGAAGGACGACCTGCACTGCCTCACAGGCACAGTTGCCACAATTGCTTGAATTACCCGATTTGGCCTCAGGAGGTCATACGTTACTTTGTGTCAGACAGATAAGCTAATTGCCTTTACTAAACAGTTACTACGCAGATCTGTAAGGTTCGCTAATATAAACACACAGAAAAGTGAAAAAATCAATAATTTGTTGAAAACGAATCAGTTTTTGCCAATCAATGCAGTTCTTCAGGAAAATAGCAAGCTGGCTGCCAGACGACACACAGACGCTGTGGAGCTTGATGAAATATTTGGCTGATTAATAAGATTTATCTTAGCTCTCACAATTTCCAGGACTATTAAAATACACTGTTTTTAAGGGTCGCCTTTCAGACAGCTTAGGGCCCAGGGACAGACATTTACCTTAGCATCATTCTCAGGGGGTTGACCAGCTTTTCTTCTGCTGTCTGTTTCAAGAATGTGATATTTCAAGGGTCTCTTTCTTGGGGTGTGGGCAAATAGCTCTATAGCGCCCCCTACCAAGTTGCTAACAGTTAGCCTCTCAGCAGTATTGTAAATCCAACAGGAAGTTAGTCATCTTCTGAGCTTTTGAGAACTTAGAGTTGCTTGGGCAGGGGCTCTGTCACTAATAAATCCTCAGTGTCTGTCTTTACTCAGTTCCAGCTCTCCTGTGTGCTCCTTGTGTTCCAGTTCTTTGCTCCAAGAATCTCATCACATCAGTCATTTTCTATTTTATGTGCAGTCCTTGGCCATTTTTTACTTTTCACATGCCGCATTTGAACAAGCTCCTCCTACGGATTTCATCAAACCAACTTCCAATTTTGTCGGTACTGTGTGTGTGTGTGTGTGTGTGTGTGTGTGTGTGTGTGTGTGTGTGTGTGTGTGTGTGTGTGTGTGTGTGTGTGTGTGTGTGTGTGTGTGTGTGTGTGTGTGTGTGTGTGTGTGTGTGTGTGTGTGTGTGTGTGTGTGTGTGTGTGTGTGTGTGTGTGTGTGTGTGTGTGTGTGTGTGTGTGTGTGTGTGTGTGTGTGTGTGTGTGTGTGTGTGTGTGTGTGTGTGTGTGTGTGGAGGCTTTGACAGTGTCCTTCTCTCTGCAGAGCCCAGGATCAACGTCGGCCACCAGGAAACAGAACAAGGAAACTACAGTCACGGTGAGTGTGGAGGATAACAGGAACTCTGACCTCTGACCCCTCCCTGCCTCTCTACAGTAGCCCTGAAGGAACACATTTGATCCCATCAGAGAAAGGCTTCAGTATTTTTTCGGTCTTAGTTTAAAACCACAAGCTGGAGACATTTTCCAGGTTGACTAACATGGAATTCCTTGAGATTAGCATGATGATAAAGAGCAGATATTTTTCCTGCATATATTTAGCTATTTAGTCCAAGATCTGAGGCTCTTTGACACTAAGGGGGCAGGTCAGGTCATTATTTTATAATTCATGGATTCAGTATTTCTTTAAATAACAGTTTGTGTCTAACAAACAAGAAGATTGAACAGGGCGTTTTCCATAATAAAGTGAACATGTATTATCAATCAATATTATTACATATTGTTGAGGATCCTTACATTACGAGCCTGGGGCTGTCGGGGCCGGGGCAGCTAGGTCCGCGGAGCCCGGTGTCGCGGGGGCTGCTGCTGCACCGGCCAGGGGCCCGGGGGCTGCGGATGAAGTAGGGATGAATATCGTGAGAGATGAAACAGGGACTGTAGAGAGTGTGGTGAGTGTGAGAGGAAAAAATGTGGAAACAGGTAAACAGGTGGGAGATGATGTAGTAGGACAGGTGAGGACTGGTGCTGTGGGACAGGTGGAGGCTGTTGGCACACAGCAGGAGCTGCCGTCTGGTTCTGGGAGGCAAAAAGAGCTTCAACAGGCTGCAGACAGTAATGAGGTGACAGAGATGGACACAGACGGTGAGGGGGATTCTGACTGTGTTTCAGTTGCAGATAGTCTCTCTCAGAATGCAGAGATATATTCTTTGGAAGAGATTAATGTTTTTTTAGATGAGTCTTTTGGCAAGGCAGTGGAAGTGAGAGACTTTTTCCCTGACACTAACAAGTTTCTTCATACAGTGAGCACTCTTCAGAAAGTTGTAGGGTTAGACCTGCTGGATGAAAAGAGACGCTATCGTCTCAGGAAGCATGTAACTGCTATGAAAAAAGTTACGAAAGGAAGCAAAAAAGGGGGGAAACTGAAAAGGTCTAAATAATTTCAAAATGATCATGCAACACTGGGTGTCTCCTCTCTGCTGTGTGTACCTGTCTGTTCTTTTTCTCTATCTCCTTCCTCTAATGCAGGCTTTAAGGGTTGCTTCTTTAAACATTAACAGGGGTAGAAGTGCACAGAAAAGAGCTTTAGTGTTAGAGGTCTTTAATCAGAAAAAATGAGATGTGATATTTCTGCAGGAAACACACAGTGATAGCCTGAATGAGACGGACTGGGGAATGTGGTGGGGGGGGTCAGTATGTACTCAGTCATGGCTCAAACCTTAGTGCTGGAGTAGCCTCTCTAAATGTTAAGATGTGATCCAGCACAGAGATAGTGGCAGGTAGAGCCTTGATGGTGAAAGAGGTCTTTTTCACTTTTCCATCCATCCATCCATCTTCTCCCGCTTATCCGTGGTCGGGTCGCGGGGGTAGCAGTTCCAGCAGAGAGCCCCAAACTTTCTTTTCCCTGGCGACATCAACCAGCTCTGACTGGGGGATCCCAAGGCACTCCCAGGCCAGCGAAGAGATATAATCCCTCCACCTGGTCCTAGGTCTACCCCTTGGTCTCTTCCCAGCTGGACGTGCCTGGAACACCTCCCTAGGGAGGCGCCCAGGTGGCATCCTAACTAGGTGCCCGAACCACCTCAACTGGCTCCTTTCGACGCGAAGGAGGAGCGGCTCAACTCCGAGTCCCTCCCTGATGACCGAACTTCTCACCTTATCCCTAAGGGAGACACCAGCCACCCTGCGGAGAAAACCCATCTCGGCCGCTTGTATCCGCGATCTCGTTCTTTCGGTCATGACCCATCCTTCATGACCATAGGTGAGGGTAGGAACGAAAATGGCCCGGTAGACAGAGAGCTTTGCCTTCTGGCTCAGCTCCCTTTTCGTCACAACGGTGCGGTAAAGCGACTGCAGTACCGCTCCCGCTGCTCCGATTCTCCGGCCCATCTCACGCTCCATTGTTCCCTCACTCGAGAACAAGACCCCGAGATACTTGAACTCCTTCACTTGGGGTAAGGACTCATTCCCTACTTGAAGTGGACAGGTCCATCGGTTTCCTGCTGAGAACCATGGCCTCAGATTTGGAGGTGCTGATCCTCATCCCAGCCGCTTCACACTCGGTTGCGAACCGATCCAGTGAGTGCTGAAGGTCGCAGACCGATGAAGCCATTAGAACCACATCATCTGCAAAAAGCAGTGGTGCAATCCTTAGGCCACCGAACTGCAGACCCCCTCCCCCATGACTACGCCTCGAAATCCGATCCATGTATATTACAAACAGGATTGGTGACAAAGCGCAGCCCTGGCGGAGGCCAACCCTCACCGGAAATGGGTCCGACTTACTGCCGAGGACCCGGACACAGCTCTCGCTTTGGGAGTACAGAGATTGGATGGCCCTGAGTAGAGACCCCCTCACCCCATACTCCCGCAGCACCTCCCACAGTAACTCCCTGGGAACTCGGTCATACGCCTTCTCCAAGTCTACAAAACACATGTAGACCGGATAAGCGTACTCCCAGGCCCCCTCCAGGATCCTTGCGAGAGTAAAAAGCTGATCCGTCGTTCCACGACCAGGACGGAATCCGCATTGTTCCTCCTCAATCTGAGGTTCGACAATCGGCCTGACCCTCCTTTCGAGTACCTTAGAGTAAACTTTCCCGGGGAGGCTGAGTAGTGTGATGCCTCTGTAATTGGCACACACCCTCTGATCCCCCTTTTTAAAAAGGGGAACCACCACCCCGGTCTGCCACTCCTTCGGTACCTGTTTCCGACTTCCACGCAACGTTGATGAGACGTGTCAACCATGACAGTCCCTCAACACCCAGAGCCTTCAGCATTTCCGGGCGGATCTCATCCACCCCCGGGGCTTTGCCACTGTGGAGTTGTTTGACGACCTCAGTGACCTCCCCCCGGGAGATTGGTGTTGATCCCCCGTCATACTCCAGCTCTGCCTCTAACATAGAGGGCGGAGTTGTCGGGTTCAGGAGTTCCTCAAAGTGTTCCTTCCAACGCCCTAACACTCCATCAGTTGAGGTCAACAACGTCCCATCCTTACTGTACACAGCTTGGATGGTTCCCTGCTTCCCCCTCCTGAGGTGTCGGACAGTTTTCCAGAACAACTTTGGTGCCGCCCGAAAGTCCTTCTCCATGTCTTCTCCGAACTTCTCCCACACCCGCTGCTTTGCCTCGGCCACGGATGAGGCTGCTGCCCTTCGGGCCTGTCGGTACCTTGCAACTGCCTCGGGAGTCCACCGGGATAACAAATCCCTGAAGGCCTCCTTCTTCAGTCGGACGGCTTCCCTGACCACCGGTGTCCACCAGGAGGTTCGAGGGTTACCGCCCCTTGAGGCACCTAGGACCTTGAGACCACAGCTCACCGCCGCGGCTTCGGCAATAGAGGCTTTGAACACCGACCACTCTGGTTCAATGTCCCCAACCTCCACAGGAATGCCCGAAAAGCTCCGCCGGAGGTGTGAGTTGAAGGCCTCCTGAACTTGGGCCTCCTCCAGACGTTCCCAGTTCACCCGAACTACACGTTTGGGCTTACCAGGTCTATCCAGAGGCTTCCCCCGCCACTCGACCCAACTCACCACCAGATGGTGATCAGTTGACAACTCCGCCCCTCTCTTTACCCGAGTGTCCAAAACATACGGCCTCAGGTCCGATGATACGATAACGAAATCGATCATGGACCTTCTGCCTAGGGTGCTCTGGTACCACGTACACTTACGAGCATCCTTATGTTCGAACATGGTGTTTGTTATGGCCAATCCATGACTAGCACAGTAGTCCAGTAACAAACCACCACTCCGGTTCAGATCAGGGGGGCCGTTCCTCCCAATCACGCCCCTCCAAGTGTCTCCATGATTGCCCACATGTGCGTTGAAGTCTCCCAGCAAGATTAAAGAGTCCCCTTCAGGAGCCCCATACAGGACTCTTTCCAGGGTCTCCAAGAAGGCCGTATACTCTGAACTGCTGTTGGGTGCATAAGCACACACAACAGTCAGAGTTTTCCCCCCCATAACCCGCAGGCGTAGGGAGGCGACCCTCTCGTCCACTGGGGTAAACTCCAACAACGAAGCACCTAACCGGGGACTTGTGAGTATCCCCACACCCTCCCGGCGCCTCACACCTTGAGCAACTCCGGAGAAGCATAGAGTCCAACCCCTATCCAGAAGTAAGGTTCCAGAGCCGACGCTGTGCGTAGAGGTGAGCCCAACCAGATCCAACTGGTAACGCTCCACCTCCCGCACAAGCTCCGGCTCCTTCCCCCCCAGAGAGGTGACGTTCCACGTCCCCAAAGCCAGCTTCTGTCGCCCGGGTCTGGTCCGTCGAGACCCTCCGCTTTCACTGCCACCCTTCCGCTCCGTGGCAAGCCCGGCCACCAGACGCTCGCCGACGAGTCCTCCTTCTGGGCCTGGCTCCAGAAGGGGACCCCGGGCTTCCTCCGGGCCGGGTATCCTCACTTCTTGTGTCGTCTTTCATGAGGTCTTTTGAACCAATCTTAGTCTGGCCCCTTGCCTGAGACCAATTTGCCATGGGAGACCCTACCAGGAACACAAGGTTCCAGACAACACAGCCCCCAGGTTCAACAGGGCACACAAACCTCTCTACCACGGTAAGGTGCTGGTTCTTCTTTTTCACTTTTATTAATGTTTATGCACCCAATCAGGGCCCTGCACGTGTATCTGTGGTTCAGTTATTAAAAGACAAGCTAGACACTAGTGTACAGGGGGAGTGTGTTATACTGGGGGGGGTTAGATGTATTCGTTGTTCTCGCGTCCAGAAGAGAAGCTTAAAATAAGGAGACTAATGGAGTCTATGAAAGGGTTCAAATTGGTTACTTTAATTAAATAGCGTGGTAATGAAACAAACAGAAGGTGGTGGGGGAGACATAGCAGCTGTTTGTCTCGCAGTGGTTCCGGTTGGAAGCGAGCGAAC